CTCTCAGGCACTGGGCCAGGCACAGTCTCTGAGCACCTGTCTGCTCTTGCCGTTTCACTTGGCTACAGGGGGGGTCCTCTGCCAAGGCCTAAGGAGCCTTGTCTTCTCAATGTTAGGGCACTTCATGGCCGTAAAATCAGTCCATTTCCAGTGAGACAAGGGAGTTAGGGAAAGGGGTTCCTGGAAGGGAGAACAAGGTTAAGAGAGTGAGCTGGGGGTTCTCCCAGTCGGCATAGCAAACATGAGGCCATAGCATTGAGAACAGTGGGCGGGGTGGGGGGCTCAGCCCTAGCCCCTGATTGGCAGTGATGGCCCAGGCCCTGGAAGCGGGGTCCTCCCGAGACCCCCTTGGATCTCACGTTCCTGAGTTTCAGAGCTGGGCTGGGCTGTTGAGTGAAATGACCAAGGGCAGAGTCTGTAGGTTCTCCCCGTGGTGCCCCATCCACGGAGGAGTTGAAGCTTGGAGGAAGGGGAAAGCGGCGCTTCCCTGTTGTCCCCTCAGCAGAACTGGTAGTTGTTGGGCTGCAGCAGGGGCTGGGCGATATCCCCCTGCTCACAGCAGGCCAGGTGCTCGCTAGAGCTCTCCTCCTCGGGCTCACTACTGCTGCCACCGCCACTGCCAGTGCGGCAGCTGCTGCTGCTGCTGCTGCTGCTGCTGCTGCTGCTGCTGCTTGGCAAGTTGGTGTAGTTCTGAGGGTGGGAGAGTCGGGGGTGGTCAGTCCTGACCTCTCAGGCCCAGCCCAGCCCTGCTGGAGCCAGCCACCCACCCTGAGGCCGGCCCCACTCACCGGCACTCTCCTGTCCTCTTGGGCCTGCTTCTGGAGGAGGGAGCAGATCTGCTGGAACGTGGGTCTGCGGGTGGGCTCCAGGGCCCAGCAGGCCTGCATGATGCTATATCTAAGGTAGGACAGAAGCTGCCTGTGGGTCTGGGGATCCAATATGCACACATGCACACGTGGGCACATGCACACACACCCTTACAGTCTTGCCCAGCAGAGGTCCTGAAACCTAGTGAAAAGTGTGCCTGACACAAGGCCTGTGCTAAGTCCTTGATATGCATCATCTCATTTAATCTCCCCAGTAACCCTTGGAAGTATTTTCATCACGCCCATTTGACAGCTGAGGGGAGAAAAAGCTCAGAGATGCTATCTTGCCCCGGCTCCTAGAACCGAGAAGGGGCACTTCCGCTGCCTGCAGGTAGGTCTGAGAGGCGGGCTGAGATGACTGTAACAAAAGACGAACATGGCAGTGAGCCGGCCACAAGTGCCTGGCCAGACGCGGGAGCGGCTGTGTCGAGAGTGGCTGGGGAAAGGTGTGCTGGGCGAGTTCATGGCCTGCTGGCCCACGGGAAGGCCGTGGCGAGGGTAGGGAGGCGGCAATTCTTGGTGGGCCAGCTGTATCGAGGTGGTTAGGAGGCTGCATTGCAGGCTGGCTGGTTACACAGTGAAGGAGTGGCTGACACCACAGAGAGCCAAGACAAGAAATGAGTCTGCCTCGACATAATAATAGAGTCTAACTTCAAAGTCTATCATTTGAGTTAGCACCAGTCCCATTTAAGAGACCTCTGAGAACAGCTACTTGGAAGCCAGTGGAAATCCCGCACTCCCTAAAATGGGCTTGTTTTGGCCCACTGTGGGGGAGATGAAGCCTGGCCCTGGAACACTGTGGACAGGGAGAGACTAGGACCACACACCTTTCCATCCCCTTCAGCCAAAGCCTGGGGAGTCCTCTCTCCTCCCTGGGGTCCCTCACTTACATGTTCTTCGGGGCGAATGCAGGCTGGGCCATTTGGTATCCATCCTTCACCAGTTTGTAGAACTTGCTGTTCACCAGGATGCCAGGGTAGGGGTTCAGCCCTGCAAAGGCCAAGAGCACGTAGGAGCCCATGCTCGGGGCTCACGTTCACCTGCCCCCCACACCCACACCTACATAAGAGTTACAGTAGGCATAGGCTTCAGTGAAATTTGGGAATTTCAGTGAAATTCACCCTGGCCTCATCACACCACACAAAGAATTCCAGCACAGGCTTGGAATAAGAGGTTACAGGAGCTCGCTGAAGGGCTTAGCCCAAGTCTCTGTGCCTAGCACTCCAGAAGTGAGATGTGCACACTTCAGACAAGGAGGGAAAACTTCATCTGAGGAAGCAGCAACTGCACCGGCAGGCAGATGAAGGAACAGCCCAGAGGGAATGCCTGGCAGCATGGAGCATCTGCCCGGCCCACACGGGAGCTGCACTGCTTGGTTTTCAGACGCTTTGCCCGTCACTTCACTCCCACCAGCCTTTCCTCTGCCCTGGGCAGCAAACACCCTTGGCTGGCATCCTTCGTGAGGTATAGGACACCATGGTAACCAAACACGGGTCAGCCCCAGGCTGAGCCTGCACTGGCCCAGTGGCTTACCGAGTGAGAAGATTTCCCAGAGCAAGATGCCATAGGACCAGACGTCGCTCTGAACCGTGTAGACACAGTCGAAGATGCTCTCTGGAGCCATCCACTTCACAGGCAGGCGGGCCTGGCACGGAAGACCCCGGTCACCTCGGACCCTGGCTCACTGCCCCCTCCCCAGCCCGGCCCACCCTCCCCAGCACTCACATTGCCCTTGACGATGTAGTTGGAGTCATTCATGATGTCCCTAGCCAGCCCGAAGTCCCCAATCTTGGCCACACGCCCACTGGTCAGCAGGACGTTTCGGGCTGCCACGTCCCGGTGGATGCACTGACAGAAAGTACTTACAGAGTTAGTCTCGGCCCGTCCCCCACTTGAGCCTGAGGTGCAGGGGGAACAGCCAGGGTCCCCCCAGAATGCCTTGGGCTCCTCGTCGAGGGAGTGAGCGTCAGTTTTGGTCCTGTACCCTGGCTCCCGTCCCTACCTGCTACCAAGATCCAGGTCTGAGGAAGTTTCGTATGGCTGGAAAGTTGGGTGTTTAGAAACCACCATCACTGTGGCCCACTGGGCCTGAGCAGTGGGAGCTGACTCAGAGCCAGGCGACCTGCTTGTGCTCAGCAGCTATGAGCCCTGGTGCTGGAAACAGCCTCTGACCCCACCGGCTGCTGATAATAGCAGCTGCCACTTCAAGGGCCCGACCGTGCCAGGCTCTTCCCTAAGCATCTGCACACACCGTAACCCTGTTTTGCCCTCCCAAATCTGCTGTGAGGGGGGCGGTTACAGCCCCCCCCCTGCTGGGAACCTCCTGAGTTGGGCATATTGTACACATCATCTCCTACCCTCACGACAACTCAGGGAGCTTCCTTTATGGGCCCCACGAGACCGTGTGCTTCACAAGAGGACACAGTCGTCTTGTTCACGCCGTTGACCGAGACTGAAGGAATAAGGCCCGTTCTTGGAAACGGGGTCCTCCGTGGCCTGCTGCACCCCAGGGAAACAGGTCTGCTCAGGCTGGGGCCCTCACCGTCCTGAGTTTGAGGAACTCTTCAGGCACGGGTTTCTCCCACTCACCCCTAGAGGCTGTGTGGCCGCTGCCCACTTGCTCTCTGGCACCCTGGCTCCTCCTTGCCTTCACCACGTGCTCCCCTTTCCTCCCCTTCATCCTTGATCACCCAGCCTCACGGGAGATGCGGGGCTTCAGCCACCTCCCACCTCCCTGGATGACCACATTTGGACCCAGTTTCCAACTCACGTTCTTAGAGGCAAGGAAGGCCATCCCCTGGGCCACCTGGCTCGAGAAGCGGAGCAGGTCCCGTAGCGCCAGTGGCCTCCCGTCCTCCTTGCCCAGGTCTGGGGTGGGGAGAGGCGTCAGGGCAGCCCCACCGCACCTCAGCCCCCAGCGGCCCCTGCCCCCCGCCCTCCGCACCTGCCACCCAGCGCCTCCTCACCTTCTTCAGAGAAGGAGTCGCTTGAAGAAGAAGTGGAGACAGGCCTCATCTCCACATAGGTGTCTACACCCTGACTGGAGAAACCGCTGTCTCTACATAGGAAAAAGGATGCGGGGGCGGGTAGGTCCCCGTTGCTATACTCACCAGCGCGGGCCTTGGCCTCCAGCTCCCCGTGTCCTCTCCAATCAGCAGGGAAGGGCAGGGACCTCAAGGTCAACTTGAACATCCCTTTCTGACAAGGAACCCCCCCCCACCCCAACTGCCACCACATTCTGTGTAAGCGATCATTGATCCCTGCTTGGCCATCCCACGGAGGAAGCTTACAATTTGTTCTGTCGTTGGGCAGCTCTCTGCCCTTTTCCTAATGCCAATCTGCCCCTGGGATTTTCCTCCTGCCGGTCCTTGCTCTGCCCTCAAGGGCCACACAGAAGTAGGCTCCCTTTTCCCATAACAGCCCTGCAGGGATTTGAGGATATTCTAGGGCCCCTTCTTTGAGCCTTCCCCGCCTGGACAGTGGCTCTCACCACTGGCCAGCTTCACATTCAACCACCTGGGGAGTTGTCAACTCTCCCCATGCCCAGAACACCTCAGAAATTAGGGGTGAAACCCAGTCGTTCACACTTTGAAACCTCTCCAGGCAGTTCCTGTGTGCAGCCTGAGCGGAGGCCTCTGGTCTAGAGGAGGGCTTCCTAAACTGTAATTCACGAGTGTAGGAGTCACCTGGGCAGTCTCATCTAAATGCTGATTCTGATTCAGCAGGTCTGGCGGGCCCGAGCTGTGTCTCTAACAGCTCTTAGGTGATGGCTGTGAGCATAGGCTTTCAGTCGTAGGTAGGTTGGAGAAGCACTTCTCTAGATTGAATAGCCACTACTGTTTCTAGTATTCTAACAGGTGTGATTTCTGGCCGTCTCCCCTTCCCGTCCCCTCTGCGATGGAGATGCGCACCTTGACCATGCCCATACTCTAGTGTTCCCAGAAAGAGAAGGGAGTGTCTTATCTATGCTCTGACCGTGGCAAAACCATCCCCTCCCCTGCTCTAGAAACTATACTTCTAGCCTGGGAACCCGTTGGCAGGATTGGTTCCCATGCCATTTGCCCTTGAAGTGACCCCACCGTATGAATCCTTTCCCCATCTGCACATTTGAAGATAAGAAGTTAATACTTCACTCTAGTTCTCATTTTGATTTGACCTGGCCTGAGGCTCCAGCCTGCAGAGGCCCAGTGTGAGCCGCCCTTTCAGAGGGGTGTCAGAGAACCAGAAGAGGAAGCAGATCCTGCCAGCCCTCCTATTCGAGGATACTGGATGGAGTTAAATGGCCTCCTTCCCCTTTTGCCTCCCCAGGCTTGGCAGCTGACAGTGGCTAAAATAAGGGTTCATTGTACACCCTTCTTGTTCTGATCCTGCCTCAGCAGCCTGGCCCTGAGGCCCCACAACCCCCAAGACTGAGACTTCCAGGACACCACTGTGGCTCAGGTGAGCACTGGACCAGGAGTCAAGGGAGCAGAATCCGAGCCCAGGCCCCGCCCCTGCCCCTGACTCATGTGTGACATGAAACTGGCCACTTCCTCTCTCTGGTTCCCCATGTGGCTTTGTCCATTTGTCTCCGAGTGGCTTCCAGGAATCACAGCAGTACAGAATAACAGAGACAGAAAGTCTCTGAGAGGCTCAACCCCTCAATGGCTTGCCTGGGGAAACCGAGGCCCAAGTAGATCAGGGACCTGGCCACAGACTGTTTTGCCCCTTCTCACCCAACAACCAACAGACTCTGTCCAGGTGCTCTGCAGCCCCTGATGGCATGGGAAAAACAGGGCCACTACCCCCAAGATCTGCCCATCTCTTGCTAGAGCCCTGAACGGATCTTGACTGACCTTTTACGTACATTCAAGTGACGATACCATTAACACCTGTCTCCACCAGACTATGAGCCCCCCATCTTTGCCCAACATGCTCCTAGAACATAGTAGGTCCTCAATTATTTGTTGGATGACAGAAATAAATAGTAGAAAAACTGAGTTAGCCCACAGAAGCTGGGGTGACTACTCCCCGTGGAACGTGAGGGCCACACAGCCACCGAAGCCTGAGTTCACTTTAGGGACAGACCCTGGGGCTTCCTCCCAGTCCCAGCCTCTTTCCTGTCCTTTGCCAGGGTGCTACCTGCGAACATATTTCTTCTCCAGGTGGATGTTCTTGTAGCCAGCGCCTGCCTCGGGGTCCTGGCCCACACTCAGGCTGGGGCCCAGCATGGCCTCAGCCTGCCTTCGCAGGAAGTTGAGCAGGTCGCCGTAGCAACAGTACTCAGTGATGACCAGAACAGGGCCTAGAGCAGCCAAGAGAGTGGGGTAAGTGCACTCCTTATCTCCCCCACCCCCGTGTGAACAGACATGGGGTAGGGCAACAGGGCACCCTGGAATGGGGATTCAAGAGCCCTGAGTTCTAATCCTGACTGACTGTGAGCAGCTTTTTCTGCTTTCTGTGCCTCAGTAACCCCATCTGTCTAAAGCAGAGGAACCTCAAAAAACCGTAGTAGAATTCCTTCTTCAAAGGATATCTGTGACAGTTCCGTAGAGGTCAAGGCCCTGGGGCACCTCTGTGGACCCTGTGGTGAATGTCCAGGTGTCTTTGGGTGGGATCTTCCCTCCAGACCCCCGGAATTAGACTCCCTGCAGCAGGGCCTGGGGACCTGCACTCTTATTCCCCTCTCTGGCTGACTCTGATACCCACCAAAGTCTGAGAGCCACTGATCAGAGCTCCCAGAACTATCTATCATTCATAAACAGCTTCTGACCCATCCAGGCACCTGGTGTGGGAATTTGAGGAATGCTGAGATAGATAGGGATCCCTCCAGAACTTGGGGAGATGGGAAGATGGGGTGGGGTGGCCATGGGCCCCGATGCCTGCCAGGACCCCTCACCTCCGTGGGTACAGGCTCCCAGAAGGTTGACTATGTTCTCGTGTTGGCCCAGGTGACTCATGATCTTCAGTTCTGACATGAGGGCCTCCTTCTCATCTGCATGAGCAGTGGCTGGGAGATGGAGCCACAGGTCCCATAGATGGGGAAGGGCAGGACATACAGAGCCACACGGACAGATGGGAGACACCCAGGAGAGCAAGCAGGGCGTACCCAGGGCCCCAGAGTGACCAGTGACCGAAAGAGGGAAGAGGAGAAATGCGGACACACAGATAGGAGTTAGGGAGAGAGAGAGGAGAGATGGCCTGTCACTGAGCTGCTCTCGAGTGGCAGGCAGCCAAGCTGTGGGCAGGCCATGGCCCAGGGTGGCCTCTGTGCACCCCAGCCTCTTTGGGGCTCCAAAGAGCCCCTCCACACCCAGGAGCTAAGGGGAGGCTGGGGCTCACTCAAGAAGCCAAGAGTCCTTGCCCCCAATCCCAGGCCCTGTCCCCCAGGCTGTGATAGGCCGAAAATGTGTCTCTCATGGCAGGGCGGCCCCTCCCCTAGGTACATGGGCTCCTACCCGCTCCCCCAGATTCCCGAAGCCCCTGCCCCTCACTCACACTTCAGCATCTTCACAGCCACCTTCAGGACGGCATCTTCCTTGCCCAGACCAAAGGCTGTGGCCTCTACCACCTTCCCGAAGGCACCGGCTCCAAGAGTCTTACCTGCCACACACACACACACAC